AGTCAAGATATTATTAGAAGTTAGTTCCCCTCAAATCTGTGAGATAGACTCGACCAGTGTAATACAGTGGAAACCTGATATAACAGGGATGGTGGGAGTAGAGAAAATGTCCTGTTATATCCGATCCCAGTTAAATCAGAAATGCAAGGAAAGTAAGCATTTGTGGACTAATCCAGCTGTACTTATTCATTTTCATGGGTAGTTTCCTTTGCCACAAGTACCCACGAACTGGGGTTTTGGCACCAACTCTCTCCTTGCCTCCTTAAACCACATCAGAAGAGCTTGGTCAACAGCATCTACAGCGAGTAGTCTCATTTTCTTTCGATCCAGAGCAAACTTTCCACTGGAGTATGCTGCCACTATCTTCTCCCTATCCTCGATAATGGTGTGAATCGACCCTTGAGGAATGTCGAACTGACGACAAATCTCTGACAGTGGAGCTCGCTTTTTGTCAACAGCCTGGGTCATTTCATATTTTTTGTCAATTGGAAGGCATTTTCTCTAGCGATTGACATCGTTGGTGACCATAGAGTTATCTCCTTTTAAACTACAGCCAGAGAGTATTTGATTATAGAGAGCGGAAACGAAGCCCCTTTTCGCGTATCCAGGTCACCAGCTGATTGTGAAACGAGGCGCGGTAAACAAAGCTAATGGCGGCCGTCGGCAGTCGCAAGTCACCCGCAAGTGTAAGTGGTGTTCTGCGGCAGTCTGCGTCCGTGCCAATTCAAGATCGCACAATTACCAGACCTAGCATTCTTTAGCCTTCCAAAGGACCCTGAAATGTAAAAATTTTGCACATGTACTTTTTCATTAACCTTATTTAATATCGTTTTTCTCAGGTGTAGCTCTAGGCTTATCTAGGCCTAACTAGATCTAGATCTAGATGTAGATATCTAGATCTAGATCTAGATTTAGTCTAGATCTAGATCTAAAATACCTAGACTCTAGACCTAGAACCCTAGAGATCTAGATCTAGATCTAGAATAGATAATAGATTGTAGATCTAGTATCAGTGTCCAGGTCCTAATTAGAACCATAGGTCTAGAAGGGCCTAATGTAGTGGGCCTGGTGGGTCTACTAGGACCAGATCTAGATCTAGATCTATCCTTGGGCCTTATTATCATTACATAGACCTATTATAATGTTTGCTTCTACTACGTACTCCTTCCTCTACTTCTTCACAACACAGGCGACAGTGCAGTCGATTAGCCTAGTTCGTCACGTCATGCCAGTGCATGTGCAGGAGGACGAAACATTGTTAAACCTTGCTATACTAGATCTAGATCTAGCGAATAATACACGTTTTTCTGGGGGGGGGGGGGGGGGGGGGGGGGCCCCGTAAAATTCGAAGAAATTTTTTTTTATCTTTCCAAAAAAAAATTTTTTTATTTTTTAAACTCCCCAAAGAGAAGGCCCTTAAAAAGTTTATATCAAAAGGCCTTTTTTTTTTTTTT